TTAGCCTTCCATCCTTTCGTAGGTCAGAAAAAGAGTAGCCAGCTTGTTGGCGGCAATTGACTTACACATTGTGAACTGCTTAGAGACTGCTTAGTTCAGTATGAACTGGTATAGAAATATTAATGCTATTACTAATGCTATTGCTAGGCCCAAAGCTTCCTGACTTCCTCAAAAAGCACTAGTGTATCTATTTTCCTAACTTAAACCAGTTGGGAATGAGGTAAAAATAACCATTAGAAGATCAAAAGAAAAGAGATGCATCACCTGGTCATGGTGACACATGCTTTCACTGCATCCCATCTGGATTGAAGTAATGCCCTCTCAAAATAACTACACCCAAATTGTTGACTGAGAGCCAGTGTGGTGTAGTGGTCTAAGTGTTGAACTAGGATGCCAGAGACCAGGGTTCAAATCCCCACTCAGCCATGTGGTGGTCACCTTGGACAAGACACATTCTCTCAGCTACAGAGGAAGGAAAGGGCAAACCCAATCTGAACAAATTCTGCCCCTTAGGGTCACCATAAGTCAATAATGACTTGAATCAAACAACAACAACAAAACTGTTGACTGGGGTCCCTTACAGGAAGCATCCAAGTTCCTTGTTATGGTAACTTTGAACCCTGATCTCCAGACTCATAGTGCAATGCTCAAACCAGTACACCACAGTGGCTCTCAAGCCTACATCACACCCTCCAACATTTCACAGATGAAAACTGGAACACACCTGGCCAAGTCAACATCAGAATTTGGTCAAGATTGCAAAAGGTATTAATGAGGAAGAACACACAAGACAAAAGAGGCTGCAGTAGACTCAGTTTTTGCCTAAGTCTACATGGAAGGGCAAAATTTTTCCAAGTCCTTTCCTCGTCTCTCTGCTGAGTTAACTGAGTGCAAACTACTTTTGCATCTTAAGCTCAGACTGCAACAAGTGAAGTAATCTGAGGACAAAGGGGGGAAGGGGAGAAAAACTGGGTACTTTTTTAAAAAAAATAAGTTATCCCTACTTTTTAAATCAGGACAGTTAGAGGGTATGCTGCAAGAAACCTAGGATACAATGATATGGAGAGAGAGAGCTAGGGAAAGAAAGACTGGAAAACCTTGCACACAGGATCGAATGGATCAAAAGCATGCCTAATCTCCATAAGGCACAGTTGCCAAGAGCTGAGGAGGAAAGAATTGCAGATATTGATTCAAAAGTGTTGGCCAAAGCTTTGACTGCAGGCCTCTGCATTTATATAATCAATATGACAATATTTAAAATGTAAGTGGTCTATATCAGAAGGCAATGCTACAATTACACTGCATTCCTACAGGCCCTTACCTGGGAATAAGTCCCACTGAAGCCAATATTTTCAAATTGGTATGTCCAGGATTGCACTAAGTGTTTTAGTCTGCAACACGATTCTTTTGGCCACCACAGACATAAACCAATCTAACAATCATTTTGCTCCTGTACAGAACATATTGGAAACTATTGTTCATAAGGTATACAGGGACTTTATTTTAAAAACTCTCAGCACCCTCCAAAGCCATGATGGTTACACAAATACTTTAAGGTCTCTCATGTAGATAAGGCCTTTGCTGTGTTCAAGAAAATCATTAAATTATGGAGTCAGAAGAGACCACAATGGCCAATAATCCAACCCTCCACCATGCAGGAATGAACAACTAAACCACTCATGTGAGATGGCCATCTAACCTTGGTTTAAAGCTCTCCAAAGGAGAGTCTACAATTCTCCAAGACAATATTTTCCACTATCAAACAGCTCTTACAGTCAAATAGTTCTTTCTAATGTTCAAGTGGAATCACCCTTCTTGGAATTTGAATTTCTTCATATCCAGGGCTGGTCTACACATACATTTATTATGCAAATTGCTGCAGATTTTCACACATTTGCATCACCGTTACATTGTCTAGCACTTCCCTGTGCAAATTCACACCTATTTGCCCTCCCTCTGCCGAAAGTGTGCAGCCCTCCAAATAAATGTTGGACAGTCACGCATTGAATAATGTGCATTCTCCCCCACCCCACCCCAACCTGTAAAAAGCCCAAACTCCTACAAATAGCATGTGGTGGGATCACACTCTAGTCAAATAGAATGAGGAGTATTTTAAACATGTAGACAAGCCACTATTAGTTTCAAGGGCAGCAGAAAATATGTTAGCTCCATCTTCTGCATGATAACCCTTCGGGTATGTAAAGAAGGCAAGGGCCTAAATATCCTCAAAGTATCAGATCCCATTTGACCTTGGAGCTAAGCAGGGTCAGGCCTGGTTAATACTTTGATGGGAGATGGCCAATGAATACAAGGGGCTGTAGGCTATATTTCAGAGGAAGGAACTGACAGATCCATCTCTGAGTATTCCTTCCCAAAGAAAGTGTGTCCAGAGGAGGGTGACCAAAATTGTGAAAAGTATAGAAACCATTCCCTGTGAAGAGTGACTTAAGGAGCTGTGTATGTTTAGCCTGGGGAAGAGAAGGTTAAGAGGTAATATGATAGCCCTGTTTGAATATTTTAAAAAATGTCATACAGAACATCGAGCACATTTGTTTTCTGCAGCTTCAGAGAACAGAACCTGAAGCAATAGATTTAAATTACAGGAAAATAGATTCCACCTAAACATTAGGAAGAACTTCCTTACAGTAACTTCTCTTCTACAGTCAAATGTGCTCCCTCGGAGGGTGGTGGAGTCTCCTTCTTTGGAGGTTTTTAAGCAGAGGGTGGATGGCTATCTGTTGGGGATGCTTTTATTCTATGTTTCCGCATGGCAGAATAGGGTTGGACTGGATGGCCCAATGAAATTCATGGGATTGCCATCAGTCAACAGGTGACTTGAAGGCACATACACACACATCATGTCACTTCTCTATCATCTCTTCTCCAAGTAAAACCTACCCAGATCCCTCAGCCTTTCCTCGCAGGCCCTGGTTTCTACACCATTCGCCATCTTGGTTACCTTTTTTCCTTGTTTGTTTGTTGTTGTTTTTAACAGGGAAACTAAGAATTAAGTCCATCATTGTGCTGGTAGTTAGAATAGAACTTTCTTTTCCTCCAACAATTCTCCATGCTATGCAAAAACAAGCTCTGGAGGTTCTCTCTGTGCTCCAGAGATTGAGGAGAAAGCCCATGAAGTGAGTTGGGAGGGAACACCCCTTGTTTCCAGTTCCAGTCTTCATCCCGTGGAAATCCACCACTCAATCGTCCCTTAATATAGTTAGCCTTTTGAAACTGAGATTCACCAATGTTCTCATAGGCTGTGCCAATTATTCATATGTTATAATCTTAGAATGAACAGTGGGGCCTTGAAAACACTTCCCTGTGCCAAGAATGTTCACATTTCCACATCTCTTGATTGTCATTTCTCTTGACACTTTGACACTACTATTGTCCTTAGGGAGCATCTTTCTGCTTGAGAAAGAGATCCTAGCCAATCAGGGATCATATAGTGAACAAAATGATATCAAACTCTGTGTGGCCAACCAGATTTTATCAGTGTGCTGACATCACCAAGGGCAACTCAAACTGATTTGGAGTGAGGACAATACTGTCTGAATGAACACACCTGCTACTAGCCAACTAGGAATGCAGAATGCAAAAATCTTCTTCCTGCCTGCCCTTAATTTCTTCCTGCTTGGGTTTTTTTATGTGTGCCACCAGGACAATCTTGGTTAATAGAGAAATCAGATGGATGTTCACAAGAGGTTTCTAAGCAATAATAAGAATTGTCATGATCAAGGGAAGTAATAACAACAATCTGATCTGCATTGTTCAGACTTCATATGGAGTACTCTGTCCAATCCTGGATGGAAGATTTTTAGATATTGACAAGTTGAAACACAAATAGAAGAGGGTGACCAAGATGGTAAAAGATCCAGGAGCCAAACCTTATGATGAAAAAATTGTGTCTGTTTAGCAAGGAGAGGTGAAGATTGAGAAGTGATATGAAGCCATCTTTAAATATCTGGAGGGCTGTCACAGAAAAAAAATGAAACAAGCTTGTGTTCTGTTGCTCCAGAGGATAAGCCTAAAACCAGTTAATTCCCTTTAAACATTAGGAAGAACTTCCTAAGAGTAAGAGCTCTTTGACAGTGGGACAGACTACTTGAGAAGGTGGTGGATTTGCTTTTGTTGGAGAATTTTAAACAAAGGTTAAAGAAAGGCTAGAGTGAACCCTGTCAGGGTTCCTTGATTTAACATGGTTTCCATGCAGTTATCATATAAGATGTAAACCAGCCTGCATTCACAGGATTCTGCTTTCTATATAGCAATTAGAGCCCAGTTTCCTCTTCGTCGCTGGAATACATCAGTTTGCCATTACGAATGTCTTATCGCATCCAGTAATGACCTCTGAGTTGGGAAAGCGGTCAACTGGCAGCTTATTAGCTGACAATTTCCAAACATTGTCAAATGTGTCAGCAAAATGCAACTTTCTTGACTTAAACGTGGTGTCATCAAGGATCAGAGTTTTTGCCCCCATCTTTGCTGAAGCCTATCTTTGTCATCTCCTTAGTTATGACACCCATTAATCATTTGATGCTATAAAGGCTTTATGAAAGTCAAGGCCAACTATGAATTACAGTTCCACAATTGCAGTACATTGTAAAGAAGCACTGCTCCATTATCTACCAGCAGATACTAAAGTGGTAGCTTGCAGGTCAATGAGGTGGTGAATACAGTCTAAATTTTAGGCCAGACTGTAAAGGAGGTATCCAAGGAGCAGAAGACTAACCCCAAAATAAGTTCAACACCTTGGACAACTCATTTAAAGTTTAAGCTATTTGTTTATTTTATTTATTTTATTCATTTATATCCAACCTTTCTCCCGTCAATGGGACTCAGGGTGCCCAACAACATTTTAAAAACAATACTACTTAAAACACTACAAAAGTTAAATGAAAATATAAAATACACAATTAAAGTATTTATCTTATTCTAAAATCTGGGATGGATTATTATTATTTGTATCCTGCTCTTTCCCCTGAACTAGGACTCAGATTATCCTTGTGGTAATCCACCTAGATATCAGTAGAAAGAGAAGGCTTTCTCTTTGCCCCCAGATCAGTTCAAGGTGTTAAATTATTGCAGCCAGTCACTGTCTTCCTTCCTTACTTATTTTATTTGTATACTGCCTTTCTCCTAAAACAGGACCCAAAGAAAATAAATGTGTTTTTTTTTAATTTTTAAAGTACAAGTTTGTCAACAAGTGTTAAGCAAACAAACAAAAAGACCATGGTACAATCCTTCTTGAGATTGTACCACTTTAGACTGAGGGCTGAGGGACTACATGTTTGATTTTTTTTCACCTACATTCAAAAATAAAAAGCAAATCCCTAAATAGGGCATGCTTATCAAATTTGCAGACAACACCAAATTAAGAGGGATATCTATTACCCCAGAGGATAGGATCAAAATTTAAAATGATC